TATATATATATGGGAAAGTTAGGGGATTGTGCACACTTAAGAGGAATTCGTTACTGTGATGTGATTTTTTTAAGTTGAAGTTAATATAAACACGGAAATATAAACTACAAACATTCTTCTATCGATATGCATTCTCATATTAAACAATTTTCCATTTGCTAATATAGTATTTCATAAAAAGTAAAAAAAAGCAAAAGCGAAAAAATTTTTCGCGCGTCAGGTAACTATGCGTAAAGCAAAAATCATAAGAAATTAATATAAAATTAATAAAATAAATATTTCATGGAAAAAGTTTCATGGAATATTGATAAAATAATAAAAAAATATATTATTAAAAAAATATATCAATATTAATATAAAATTAATATAAACTTTGAAGAAATAATACAAAAATTGGAAAAATTAATTATTTAATCCAAAATATGTAATTCTCAGCTGCATTCTTCATGCATTCTTCATGGACTCATTCAGAACACAAGCAGTAATGAAATCATCCAATCAATACAAACTAAAATAACATAATATCAGTATTATAATTTCGCATTTTACAATGCAAGTTATAATGTAACTCTTAAGGAACATACAAAAATCAATAAAAAAATCAAAATGACTTCATGACAAATGATCAAAGTGATTTTATTTTGATACTTAAAATTACTAAACAGTCCAATTTTGTAACAAAATAATCGTCATTTTAAATTTCTTGTGACTTATATTATCCCTAAGGATGCGCATATTAGCCTATCCAGAAGGTAATATGAGCACTGGGCGGATAAGAACACCCGCTATCATTTCAACATTTGCATTAAAATAATTCATTTCAATACTAAGATACATAAAACATCAACAAATCTCAACAAATCAACAAATCAAATGCAAAAAATTTTTTTATTTTTCAGTATGCTAGATATATCAAAATGTTTCCTGTGCTCATAATATCCCTACCTTATATTATTTACTAGTTTATTAATTAAATAATATGCTATTAATACATACATATATATTGTATACACAATATTTGTTTAATATAATAAAAAAATAATGTTACATTTACAAATATTTAATAAGTATTACTAAATGGTAACAGTTTGGTAATACTTATTAAATATTGTAAAAGTAACATTATTTTTGGTTATATTAACCAAACATTTGTTTGGCATTATTTCATCATACATTTAATAGCTATTACCAAACTCTGTTAAAAAAAAAAATATTAGTGGTTAACACAAAAGTGTTAACCACTGCTAAAAAAATATACACTAATATACATGCAATATGATTGCTAATTATAGCAATACAACATACTTTATATTGCCAAATATTGTTAATATATTGCTATGTACTACTATGTATTGCTAGTACATTGCTAGCATGTTCTTAGTACTGCTATTGCTAACATTGCCTGTTTTATTACTATAATATATTTCTAAAGAAATGTTCACTGATTGCATAGTGATTGACCCCTCGCTAGACTTTTTTTCAGTGTACGATAAGGAATAATAAAAATATTCATAATACTCGATCATGCATATTTATTCGAAAAACTACCTGTCTAATAAATCAATAATGATCTCGGGACTTTACGAAGTTAGAATGGCTCAACATTGTTTACTTTACAAATATTAACATACAAAACAAAATATTTTATCTCAATATAGCTGGGGGACCTTATGAAGTTAGAGGAAAAAACGCAAGAAATAAAAAATAACATACCTACTTAATATGATAAATATCTGAAGTACATAAATCAAATCTTCGCAGCATTGGAATATCGCGAAGACAGATGTATCTTTTTACAACAGTTGGCACTACTGGTACCAACCATTACAGAAATATAAGAGTGCTCATATTACCTGCAGTGCTCATAATACCCGATTCTATCCTATATATCGGGTGTTTAAGATCATACCATCCTTTTATCTTCGTAAGATAATCCAATTGTAAAAGTTTTCAGACAGAAGTTGTAGGGTTTAAAAGGATCTATTTATTAAGGATCTTATCAGTTTAACTTTAGGTAATGTCGCCAAGGTCAGATAAAGATCACATCAATTTTTTAACATGAAACACTCAAATTTTTTATTTCAGAATCTAATAGCCGATGTCGAAAGCTTTCCAAAAATTATAATAAAGTTATTTTCATGAAATACTTTTCGAGTTATAAGATTCGAAAATTATAGTATCGCTGGTATTAGCATTACATAAGATGTCAATGGCTAAAATCTCTTGAATATTGTTCAGGATCATGTCCTGGATAATATCAAATCAAGATCAATATCATTGGAAGTTATATAAGT